AAGCAGATGGCGTTGCGTAACATTTCGTACTATTTGGAATGCCAGAGAGGGACTGTGCATTGATATAGACAGCTGTTGATGGAAATGATGACTGGAGAGGGTTACATTTCTTTTTGTTAAGCCAGGTTAATCTTGAATATTTTTCCCTTGGAAAATTCTTTCGAGACGGTATCTCCATGCTTTACAGCTTCCTGATTTAAGCGTTTTGTAATTTATAATAAGCATTACTTCAAATGTTTCCAAGCATTGAATTTTGATAACCTTGTCGAACCAAAGTTTCATCTTTGCAATAATGAAAATAAAGTTAGTTTTTAAAATCAATGAATATCTACTTTAAGGCGACATCGAATTGTGGTGTTTTAAGCGTGGTGGGAGCGGCCATGTTTACATCATCATGCCATTACATAATCGTCGGATGACGATAGGATACAGCTGATCGGGATCGAGCGGCAACGTGTGAAGAAAATGGAGAATTGAAACCTGAAGCTCATTTTATAATGTTAGGTTTGAGCAGAGTGGAAATTGATAAAGTAAACACAATTTATAAAGTAGCCCCTTATGAATGGAAACAAAATGTTCAACCTTTAAGAATGTCAATTCACACTGGCTTTAGTTTAGAATTTATTTTTTCAAAGAAAGTGTTTACATTTGAAGATTTAACTGCAAAAATGGTATATAAGAGTCAAATTAAAAAGAATGTAGAAACAAACTCGGCAGGCGGCAATTTAATGACACTTTACAATATTCCAAGAAAAGAAGTAGAAAAGATATATGTTCAACCAAGGATGTGTACCTTAAGTAGTAAACTGCGAGAATTTCAGTTCAAACTATTGCATAATATTTTATATACAAATCATCATTTACATAGATTCAGGTTCCATGAAAATGGTTTGTGCTCATTTTGCAAAAATTTTGAAGAAACTTATCAACATGTATTCTTTGAATGTAATACAATAAAGGAAGTCTGGGGGAAATGTGGAGATAGACTTAATTTACCAATTCTGAAGAAATTATCCTGGAAAGAAATTCATATAGGAATAGATGACACTACTTTTAAAACAGAGCAATTATTGAATCACATTTTGATTTTGATTAAATATATGATTTTCCACAGTAGAGAGAAGGGAAACCCTCCAAAAGCAAAATAAATAGAATATAGATTGTTGGAAAATAGAAATGAAGAGAAAAAACTTTCAATGGAAAGAGACACACTTTCAATTCATTTAAGGAAATGGGAAGCTTTGGAAAGTTTAGAATAAATGTTTTCATTTTTTTTTTCTTAATATACAACTTCCTGACCCTCCTCTCTTCTCTTTTTTTTTTCTCTACTTTTGTTTGTTTGTTCGTTCTATGGTGGTGTGTGTTTTTTATACTGTTGTACTTGTTATGTGTTTAAATGTTGTGTGGGGCGGGGGGTAGTAGGTGTTTTGTAGCTTTTTCTCTTTTTATATATATATAATTTTTTTTTTCTCTAAAGGAATATGAAGAGGTGTAACTTTTGTATGTAAATGTAAAAGATCATTGGCAATTTATAAAGACCTATGTTAAATTATTTTGTTATTTTGTATACAATGTTATAAATTTTCAATTGTTCTTTGAGAGAAATGAATAAAAACCTATGAAAACAAAAAGTGCACTAGTATGATGTAGTCTGCAAGCACAGACCCTAATTTGACACTTTATTAACAAATCATTGTGCCTTAGGAGAAGCCTAGCCCAGCTACCTGTCAGGGGCATCTATGGTAGTCTTATAGTGCAGACTCTCTTTTACGAGTGACCAGGGTTTGTGCCTGCAAACTAATTTGATCCTATCGTGACCTATCCGAGAGTGGAGGGACAGCTATATAATTCTCTTTGGTTTAACCCCTTTACTCTCAAACCTCAACTCTGCATATTCATGCCCCTTGTTAACATGAGCCAAAGCAGGGCTCCCACTTAGCCGAGTGGGAGCCTCGAGTTGTGGCGAGCTGGCGCGATCTTATGGCAAGCACTTTTATCATTAAAACATATTTCTTGATACCAAGAATACAATTCTTGATATCACGAAATCGAATTCCTGATATCACGAAATCGAATTCTTGATATCAAGAATTACCATTGCTTTACAACATAAAATAATTTCTTGATAATAAGAATTGATTTATTGATATCAATTAAAAATAAAACGGCTTGCCATAAGATCGCGCCAGCTCGCCACAACTCGAGGTTCCAACTCGGCTAAGTGGGAGCCCTGCTTAAGGGGAAGACAGGCTCAAGTTATAAACAACATCTTTGATTGCTAATTATTTTACAACTCTGAGTATTGTCGTGCTTCGTAGTATAGAGGGACTCGCTCGAAGAGTAAAATAAGGGTAGGTTTCTAGGGTAAGAATCATATGCGGACAGGAGGAAGGAAAGCTCCAGAGGAGAACCAAGCCACACCAAAAGCAATCAGAGACTGAGAAGCCAGGCACCACGACTAGGTATCATCTACCCGACCCCTTTCGGGGCTGAGCGATTGAATTTCAGAAAGTTATGAATTTTTGAAGGTGCTATCAATCAAACAAAAATTAGCAACTCTGTGACATATCTTACGAGCTCCCGTCCCATTTGCCTGTACTAAATCTGCTTCAAAAATTCACATTTTCAATGTTCAATATTCAATGTTCAATGTTCAAAAAGATCTATTCCGTCATCAAATTACTACAATTTTTTTTTTTCAACAGAGGAAATTGTAGAGGAACTCGCAAATTACGTCATATTGATGCCAGTTTCACTGATGGCAACTTTAACAAAATCATAACCTTCCAATTTGTAGTCGGATATTGCTTAAACTTTTGCTTATGTGTTCCTCTCATTTAATAAATATGTGCTTTTACTAAAACCAACTTAATATCACAATGGACTTTCCTTTTAAACGCTATACAATTGTGACTATAATTATCACGACGATAATTTCATGCATTTCAAATTTGGATGTACATCAGTTAAAATAGACATGTTATATTTATCAAGATCCCTTCATTTGGTTGACATATGGTCAGTGTGTAGCAAATTGCTTTTCTTTTTCTACCTTAATTTTGGAGACAAAGTTGGTTCTCCCTTTTCTATTTTTGTATCCTGTATTATGCTCTCACCTCCCCCCTTTTGTTCCCTCTTCCTCTCTTTCTTGTTATCATCTCTCTCTCTCTCTCTCTCTTTCTTTCTCTCATTCTCTCTGTCTCTCTTTCTTTTTTTCTCTCTATCTCTCTTCCCTTCTTTCATCTATCTCTCTCCCTTTCATCCTTTTCTCTCTTTCTTTTCTTCTCTCTCTCTCTCTCTCTCTCTCTGTCTCTGTCTCTGTCTCTGTCCTTTGTCTCGAAAGAGAATTTAAAATATGATAACGAGAGTCCGGGATTTTCAGTATAAATTGCTCCGATAACTATCAATACTCTGTCTTAATGACTGATTTAAACAAAAAAAGTATTGAATTCTTTTAACACGAGATGGCGCTGTCTCGAATGGTAGTCCTAGTCCTAGGAAAGAGAGAGATGGTCAACTTTTGTTAGTTACTGAGCAAACTGGTGTCTGGTTATATAATAAGAGTACTATTCCCTTTACCAAAATATTCTCTTATAACTTTCATCAATAAACATTCATACTTGTTCACAGCTGCATACATACCAGTCTATGAAACAACGAAATACCTGTGATTCTGATTAAAAATGTAATATTCGACATCAGCCTAAAATACACTCATGTTCTTTTTCCTCAACCAATAATGTATGAACTATGAAATACAGTCATACCATATTCAGATAAATAAAGCTTCTCTACAAGAAATAGAGCCACGTTCTATTTAACGTGTTTAAACACGTCATAATAATGTTCATGCATGATATGAAGATTTATGCAATGTACAAAATACATTTGAAGAAGGTTGCACTATTCGTTGATCCTTCCATAATTTTCTTAATTACTAGGTTAGTTTGGGGGAGTTCATACCATACAAATATATTAATCTGATGTTAAATAGGGTTATCCGCAAAGACTTCGGAGTACATCCAAAGACAAGGATATATTACAATTACATTCTGATTTCATATTTAAACTTTAAGTGAAATTACACAATATCAAGAGTGTGCATTTATTTATCAGTGTATTTATCAACTAATCCTTTTTCTGTTATTCATTTTTTGCCCATAATAACTTTTTAAATTTAAAATGTATTGGCTTTTTGTTCGTTTTTCTTTAGGTTTTAATGTTTACGGCACTCCCGACACAAAAGCGTTTGCTCTTTAAACATGTCGCCGCCTGTAATATAATTTCACTGTATATTTTTAATGGAAGAGAGAGAATAAATATATATATATTAATACTAATGCTAATACTTCTACCATTATTAGTCCTAATAATAATGAAAATGAGAACATAATTATTAATGATAATAATAATAGCAATAAAAAGGAAGACAAAATGTAGGGGCAATGGAACCTGTATCATCATCATCATCATCATCACAAAAGAATAAGAGTTAGGTTTAACTAATAGCTATGTAACAATAATCACAATAAGTACATTTATCTAAGCGCACAAGTAGTACTGTCTAACTCAGTATAAATATTTAACATGTTTAATAACTTAAAAGCAGAACTAGAATAAAATGTTACTAATACAATACAATTAAGTTGACTGGAATTAACTACTTGTGTGAGCCTCCAGTATAATTTAACTGATTATCTTGTTCCTCCATACCTCAATGCAAGTTACAGAATTAAGCATTTAGGCCATTTTAGCGTACCCGCCCGCTTCCTTTTTGGGGGGCCGCCTCCTTTTCTTTTTTTTTAAAAATTTTCAACGAAATTTTTAATTTAAAAAAATAATAATTTAAAGAAAAAAAACATGAAAAAATGTTAAAATGGATGTATTTCTGATTTAAAAATATAAAAAATGTCGGCGGCCATCTTGAAAAATAGCCCGACTGTCAGGGAAAATGTTCCGAGCGGCAATTTTGAGCGGCCATTTTGAAAAAAAAGGGCCTCCTCCTTCCTATTTTTCAGAAAAAACAGGACGCTAAACATGTTGTTTTTGTTTTTGCCTTACTATTTACATGTAGAATGAAGAGGTAAATCCATTTCGGAGGTGAGGATGGAGTCAGGCTGGATGGAGTGTGTTCCACGGTTCAGGGCAAGAACTTGAAAGCGATCGCCTTCACGGCCCAGGATTGCCGTGAACGTGGGATGCAAAGAAGTTGGGTTTGAGCAGAGCGGAGTCGTCGTGGTGGTTCGTAGAGTTTTACTTAGTCCTGTATGTATGAGGATGCAGTGCAATGAAGAGCTTGATAGACGAGAAGATTGCCTTTGAAGATGATGCGCTAGCGGATAGAAAGCCAGTACAGTACGTGCCTGAAGGATGTAAGTGGCGCCTCTAGTGAGCGCTACAAGTAGTGACCGCTATATAGTTCCGATGACGTTTTTGGAGGCGTTGCAGCTGGTAGTCAGGAAGATGTATCAGAAGAGAATTTAAAAGTCTAAGTGGAAAGAAATAAGGGAATGACCAAGTCATATTATGATTTAGAGTCATGTTCGAATCGATGACAATTACACCAAAATTTCCTGCATTTATTTGCAGGCCAGGGCTGATTTGAGCAACACAAATTGTATATGAAGCTTTCCGGGATGTTGTTTAGCATCACCTTTGAGCTTAGAATCATGAACTCAGATTTCCCTCCTTTGAGCTTTAGATTACAACCGAATATTCCGCTTCCTTCGAAGTTACGGCGTGTTTACTTGCGGCATCGTCCGCCATTTTTTCATAGATATCCTCCGTTACCATGACTACTTGGTTGTCTATGGTCTTCATGTCGACATACTCTGCCTCCATGGTCTCTCTCTTCATTCGGGGCGTTAAATATTCATTCTCGATCTCGCCTTGTTGGTCGTTCTTAAAGATATAAAATGAAAGTAATATCCAATATTTAGAGGCGTTAAATTAAAACCAATACACAAACATACCAAAGCAACAATAAAAAGCTTACAAAGAATAATAAAATTAGCCTAATACTAATAAAACCATTAATAAGAACATAATTAAATCAAATTATTTATAACACGGAAAGGAGGGGGGGGGGGTAATGACCTTTTAAAAACAAAGACGAGTTCTTATTTTGAGTTACTGATGAAAAGTGCGACGTCGTTCCACATTTTCGATGCAGCCACTATAAAACGTCTTTCAGTTGATGAGAGTCTGTGTTTGGGAATGATCAATTTAGTTCTGTCAGTTGCAGAGCAACGATAATTATACCATAAAGGTTTTTATTGAAATAGTCAGATGCCAAACAAGACAAATTATTTAGAATTCTGAAGACATACACCATACAAGCAAACATTACAAAGAATCCCATGATAAAGAGGTAACCCGTGGATTTTCTAATCGAAGGTGAGTATGAGTCATGGGGTGTTTCTCAAAGACTTAGATCGACTTTAAGTTGGACTTAACTATGGCAGGCCATTAGTGCCCCAATTTTCTCTCACCATTTACTGGCATTGTTCTCTCCAGGGATGTACAAGTCATGGTCACAAATCTACAGAATTTACTTGTTTTGATCATCCATTATTGAAGGAAAAATGTTATCTAAAGACCATGATTGAGAGACCAATGATGTGAGCAACCAGTGACATAGTTAAGTCCAACTTAAAGTCGATCTTAGTCTTTGTGAAACACCCCCTGGATTCTAGTCAAATCTTATTTTTAGCGGCTCGATTCTGGACATTTTACCTCCATGTTTATGCGCAAAGTGTCACTGCTAGAGGCTTCGGGAAAAGCCACAATCGTAGTCTCGTACCCAGTAGGTGCTGCTTCTTCACCTGCCATCTCATCGAGACCGGAACCATTGTTTGGGTCTTGTTTCGGCTTGCACCTAATGAGAGAGGCAATACGTAAGGAGAAGAAACAATACCTGTCAGCTACCATGCCCGGGTAGGCTTATTTTCACTGTCGGAATTATTTCACCAATATACTGTTTGCAAATAATGACTAACAGTTTGGTTTTTGTCAGAGAGTTTATCTGGCTGTATTTTATTTCGTTCCCCAAAAAAGTTGTTTTATCTCGCTTTAACATGTTGAATTATGATGTGACGTTTTTACAGACGAAGGATGAACTTCTTGCACAAAGGCTAATAACTGCCTATTTAAAGCTTTTTGACGTTTGTTTGTCTTAATTACTACAATATACTGATGATTGATTGAAATTGAATTCATATCTGCGTATGCAGTCTATACTTGACATTATTCAACATTTAAAGGACTATTTATAACCTTAGAATGTAACCATACTCACTTGCATCTATAAACGAGAATGATGATAATGATGCATACTACCACTACTGTTGCTGCAACTCCACCGCCTATAGCTGCATACTGAGATGCATATGGAGCTGTGTGTAAAAACAAGTATCTAGCATCGTTACCATGCATTTACCTAAATGGACATGCATATATTGGGAGAGCAGTTAATACATAATTTCATTGATTCCAGAGATGGAGGTAGAGCAGGTAGAGAATATGGCAATAATGAAAATGAGACGATTTTACTAAAGCCCACCGCATATTATATGATCTTTAATACTATGATCCGATTTGTGATTAATTGCAGTAGCATTTCATATGGACATTCAAACGTGTAAAATCAGAATGATCGAGTATCTTAATAGTCATATGAAAAAATATAACTTTCAAGGGAGTTCATGCTTCCTCTGAGGAGAAGTGGCTAAATGGTGGCTCACAGTGACGTCAGACCAGTGTGGCGATTATATATATTTTGAAGCCGAATTGGCTGTGAATCTTGGTAGGAAAATGAAATGCACTAAAATTCCTGTTGTTAGCATTATTAATATTATTCACAAATTAGATCAGGAAAATGATATTAGCTTAGACTTCCCTATCTGATGTTATTATAATTACCTAGAAAATCGATCGCAGGAGGATCGTGAAGTTTGCGATGGGCGTCATATTGACATGGTCGTGCGAACACGACATTAATATAATACGTAATCCGGACAGCGTTTCAAAAGGCAATACTAAATGGTACTGACATTGCTCTTTAGTTTATTTCTTGAAAGTTTTTGCTTTCGTGTTAGAATGACATCTCTTTTACGATGTATTTAAATGGGGTTTTATTAATTCAGTCGTTCTCTTTAGATTCATAACAAGATGGATCTTTTGTAGATCAAACTTTATGGCATTATGTGCACCTATACTTCTAGAGTAATGTATCTATCAACTGCTTACCTATATATGGTGTTTCATATATTTGAATGTTGTCTACTGTGAGCAGAGGAAGTACACCACCCCTACTTGCAATGAATGATATCTGAAATAATAAATAAAGGAAAACAAACAGAGGAGAACAATATGCCTTCTCGTTTAAGAAACTCTTGTTAGGTAGTGCTTATATAGTGATCTTTAATAATAATCTAAAATCGGATTTTCAAAATAAATGTAAGAGATCAGTCCAAAACTAATGCATGTATGATATTATTTAAAACCAGGTAAGCTAGTCTAAAGCCTGACAACGATCAACACGTTTGAAAACAGTTATAAAACTTCTTTTACTACGTGTTTAGACCCTTAAAATCTATTAAAAAACAATGTTATGATATATTGTGCAATATGAATAACAAGTCACGTGGTTATGATTATGTTCCAATCTTATTTAAGCCTTAACATTAAAAAAAATACAAAAGTGAGATCTATCTTGTGTCAGCATGCTTGAAACATGCTTAAAGGAATATTAAGGAAAACTAGAAAATAAGTCCTTGCATTACAAACCTCAACATCCATTTTGCTTGCACATGAATAATGAACGACTTCAGTAACTGCCATTGGAATTCCCGTACCAGCAACTGTAAATGCAGGTTCACTTGCTTCCCTGCAAACCTTGACCGATATAGATGAATCAGAACCCGCAAAGAGGTATTGAAAAGATAAATTTCCCCGCGGTGATGTGAAATTGTGCGGAATGGAGAATATGAACATGTCACGTGAACTGCTTCCAGACACATCTGCCATTAGAGTCCCTGTTTATGATTTGTAGAAAAGGAGTTTAATTACAAATAGGCCCCTGTATCCATTCGACAGGAAAATACATTATTATTATTTGTTATAATCGCGATTTTGTTCAATGTAGTTAAACACAATAATATCAATTTGGGCCTATTTAATACTGATCTTATGGAGGACCCTTTAGATTATCATTGCCACGGCATTGTATTTACACCTGGGTAGAGAGGGACAAATGTATGCGAAACACCTTGTCCAAGGATGTAAGCACTGAACACTAACCGAACCAAGGACCTCTCGTATGAAAGTGCTGCCGGGTCATTTTTCTTACATAGAGACAGCTGCTTTTTCTCGTCATTCCAAGCCAACGGTCCTCTTAATATATATGACTGATGATTGCAATGGTAAAAGTTTGTTACGTATTTGGTTCCATAATCTCCGTTTGTAAATGCTGAATAGTCAACAGAAGATGTGTTTTCGGAAGAGGCAAAGACGTTGCAGATAATGTCTACCACGTACCTCTGAAAGGATCGTTGCCGATGGTCCAGCTCCCTTCTGTCTCAATGATTCCACATTTGTCCTCTTCAAAGTCACATGACCAATCTAATAATATAAAATGGAGTCAGGAAAAAGATTAAAGTCAATAATGGGGGAAACCAGAGATCCATAGTAAAACACACATGTACGCAATATAATGCTTGAACAAATATCGGAGAAGCATTGAAGGCTACATGCACTTGTTAGGCAGATTTAAAACCCCAAAATTCAGTTTCGCGGCCCTTCTCATAGTTTAGCTTACGGTTTATGAACCCGGCGGTACACATTACTGACAGCCTACAAGACCGACAATTTTGCTCTCGCGTGGGTTTCTTAAAGTGTAATATTGCTTCACGAGACCGAAAGCCCACGAGATCGACAGCTTGAGAGAGTGGCTTGAGGGCCTGGCAATCTTTTTAAGGATTCATCAGACCCACAATACCGTGTGAGTCAAAAAAAAAAGTTTACACCTAGAAAGTTGTTAATTATTAAAAAATAATCTATAAACAGTAAATTATTATACATCTCATGAAAGAGTGCGTTATGCCAAATCATTTGATACCATTTTTGTGTGGTATGTGTTCACGATTGGATTAACAGGGGGGATTGTTTGCGAGCGTGCAAAAATCGACTTGCGCCAAAGTGATGCCTACAGCATTTCTTATGTTGGGATTAGCGGAGTGAGAGAATGAATTGAATTGAGAATGTAGCAAATTAAATGCATTGCATATGCTTTTTGCAGAAGCAAAGTCACACACGCACAAATGTTCGTTGATATTTGATGTTCGATATTCTATATGTGTGGCATGATTGATGTTGTTAGGGATGTTATTTTGATCTGCAAAAACCGATTTAATACTCAAATCCCAATTGTTTTATTTAAACATCACATAGGCAACTTTGGCGCAAGTCGATTTTTGCACTCTCGCAAACAATGCCTCCTGTTCATCCAAGCGTGAACACATACCACACAAAAATGATACAAAATGATATGGGATAAAGCAATCTTTCATAAGATGTATAATAATTTCCTGTTCATAGATGACTTTTAAAATAATTAGCCATTTTCTAGGTGTAAACTTTTTTTTGACTCACACTGTATACACATAGGTGGAATCGTTGACTGTCGGCCCAGTCGGCTGGTCGTCAATGAATGTTTCGGTTAACATGATTAAACTGTAGTCATATTGATATCTAGATTGAAACAAACTGTAATTGTACTAACTATAAATAAAAGAGTGGGAGAGATAAAGGCACAAGTTTAGTATTCTTTCTGTTTAGAATGCATTGGTGAATGAATCATTACCGTTGCAAAAAAACACTTAACATGCAGGTAAACACAAATATAGTTTCATCGGTTTCATTGAAAGACAAGGTTGAGTTATGATTTAGGTCAACCAACAACATTATGAATTATGTCTGAGCATCAACAGATTGTAAATAATTATCAGTGAAATAATTTACCTGGATCAACAGCCAAACAAACTCCTGTGCATATTATCGCGAAGATAGCTATCCGTTTGTACAGCTCCATGATGTCTTGTTTGGGGCACTCGAAATGATAGATAACGACGGACATAAAATGCATAGATCTTTGTTGTACATCAGAGCACACAATAAATTATATTCGCCTTCATAATCATGTCGGACTGAATTTTGTAATAAAGTGCAAATATTTGCGCCTGCTTTTATGTAAATTGATTGTTTCATTTCCCGTCGTTCTTCCGTATGTTTATGTTTGGTCACCGTGGCTTACTCCACAAATCATGGAATGGCAGTAAGTTCATGATTGTTTTGTTTTATACTTAAAAAGTCGCTAATGATTGGCATTCACCCAACCGGAAAGTGATCCTCTGGTTTTTATTGACATGCGATTCCGAAATTTCCTCCTTTTTGAAGAAAAAAATCCATTTCCTTATGCTCAGGAATACATTGAAACAAAATGCGATTTAATCAAAAAGTACGTGTTGGATATATGATATTTTTACTGGGAGGGTAAAATACTACTTCCACGTTTTACATGTTAGATTTTTAGACAATGTTATTAATAATATAACAAATCATCATATACATAGGTATTCTCTGCCTTGTCGAAACTCTTGGATTAATATTATTGAATATCAATCATCCAACCTTTCCCCTATCCGGACACATACCTCCTGGACATCCAACCCCCCGATAACTACCCCCAGTCAACTTCTCCCTAGGACAACTACCTCCTATGGCAACCAACCTCTAGGACGACTAGGGGGTAGTATTCCTAGGGGATGGTCCGGGGTAGCTGTCCTAGGGGGTAGTTATGTGGATGTGGTTATCCGGGGTGGATGTCCAGGGGGTAGGTGTCATAGAACCACTATTTCCCTCTCAACAACCCCCTTTTTGTCTTTGTCTTTGTCTCTCTCTCTCTCTCTCTCTCTCTCTTTCTCTTTCTCCCTCTCTTTCTCCCTTTCCACCCTTCCAATAGTTATTCTTTCTTTCCGTTACCTGGCTGTCTCACTTTCTCACTCATATCTCTCTTAACGTGATTATACATTTGGTTAATTTGTTGGTATGTTTTGGTTATTGCCATTTAGACAAATTCAAATTTAAAATGCAAATGTCATAACTGTAGCAATAAGTACTAAGTATAAGAATAATTTGGGGAAAAGATTTACTTCAAAACAGTGTTTATGGTATTTTTCTTCAAGTGACCTCCCCCCCCCCCCCCCCCCCTCCCCCCTCAATAAACCGACGTATCAAACAGCTACACAGAAAACCTCACATTTCTGACACAAACTGTTGTACTTGTATATACAAGAGCGGGAGAGTAAAGGGCACAAGTTTAGTATTGTTTCTTTTTAAAATGCTCTATAGCTGGGAGGTAAGAAGACTAATTTTACGCTCTAAGTGTTAGACAATATTATTGTCTGAGATCATACGAATTATCATGTCCTTGTCAAATTTCCATTGTCTGTCGAACTTTTTGATTAATTATATATCTCTCATCTACTCTTTCCATCGCAACAATCCCCCTCCCTTTTTTCTCTGTCTCTCTGTCTCTCTCTCCGTCTCTTTCTCTCTCTCTCTCTCTCTCTCTCTCCCTTTCCCCACATTTCCACTATTTATTCTCTCTTTCCGTTTCCTGGCTGTCTCGATTTCTTACTCTTCTCTCTCTCTCTCTCTCTTACCGCGATTATACATTTTGCTCAATTTTTCTGTAGGTTTAAAAAAAATGTAAATTGTATAACTGTAATAGATATTAAGTATGAAAATAATTTTTGGAAAAAAAATACTTCCCATCAGTGTTTATTGGTGTTTTTTTCTCCAAGTCACCTACCCCCCCCCCCCCCCTTTCCCCCCTTCAATAAACCGACACATTAAACAGCTACACAGAACACTCCAAATTTCTCTTCCACAAGTTCACAACTGTAGTCCGGGAAGTTGATGTTTCCTTTCATGCAAGAGCGACTTCCTCATTTAAATTCCACTTAAGCGGAGGTCATTAAATCATAATGGACACGAAGTTATAAACATGAGGTAAAGAATTCCTTGCTTTGGTTGACTTGGATAATAATAATATTTGACGTAATGATCTAAAAGGGACACGAGAGTATTATAGTACAACATATGAGTTTGCGTTGTATCTGTCATGTATTCATTCACATAAATATTTGTGTCCCCTTCCACAGGGTTCATTATTTTCAAAACAAATTCCATCATGTATACAGTATATCCATACATTATATACAAATAGTTAAAGATATAATTTCCATACCTAATGGCTTAACACAGATAATAATTATCAAGACCGAAAACTTTGTGACAGATAAAAACAAGCATTTATGACAAAATTACTATTTTAAATATTTTAAAATACCAAACATAAAAAAACCTGATCATGTTTCTGTTTGCACATTTCCAACACTCTCAAAATATTTTCTGAAGTGAAATCATTTTTTTTTTCCAATTTATTCTCTCTGAGATTTGTTTGGTTTATATATTTTTCCATTTCATAATAGCGTTTTACAGCTGATAAAATTATATCAAATGAAGGTAGTTGATTTTGTAATTTGGCTGAAAATATTTCTTGTCTTACAACCATTAGAACACAGTTTAGTGCATTATTATTGCTACCGCAAAATCCAAACAATTTAGTTTGATTCGAAAATTTAGTTTTATTCGAATAGTTACAAAAGCAAAAAAACATGTATGATAGTTTCATCATTGCTATTACAAAAGTACACTTCTTGTCAGCCACTACACCAAATCTTAACAAAGTATCCTTCATATATAATATTCTATTTAAAATCTTGATTTGAAACCATCTCCTGTTGATATATATTGTTGACTGAAATGGAATTTGACAGTACGAACCCTAAGGTAAATCTTGAAAATCCAATACATTTTTCCACTTTGTAAGAGCTTTACATTCTTTTAATTTCGTTTTTTTTAAAGAAAAGACTGATAAATATGTTAACAACCAACTTATGGTTTCACCACAAGGTGCATGGCTTCGGGAATAATAGGTTCTAATACTTCAGGAATATTACATGTTTACTCATTTTAAAACCTGGCCACATTACATTAAAAAGACCATAGTACCCACATGGATTATGAAACATGTATTTGATCAAGGAAAGAAGAAAAGAAGGGGACAAGAAATCAATCATTGTGACATGTTTTTTGTCTTCTTAAGATCAAGCTCACTAGTATATAGGGCAGAGAAAAGATAAATCATTGAACAAAAGATTGAACAAGTAACGTGACGAGACTTAATGCGCGTATTTTAGTCCATAATAATCTTTGTAACAAATATGAAATTATATAGCTCTTTTAAAAAGCGGAAGGAAAAGAACAAAATGTTTTTAAAAAGAGAGACAAGGATCTATACATGGATTATAAAACATTAGTTCGTACTTTGATTGATTATAGTGAAGGTCCTACCTATGTTTGTTTAGTTTGCCTATCTATGATTGTTTAGTTTAAAAGCTGTTACATGAGAGACAAGGAACTTTGCATGGATTAAGAAACATAGGAGAAATAGGAGCAGAGACAGAGAGAGAGGGGGAAGTCTAGAAGCCTAGTCTGCAAGTATGGATTTTGTTTTTACACGTTTAGAAAGCCGTGCAAAATCTTAAATTTCTGTATCTAATTAAAAAAAATTGTTGTCATTTAATTTAACAACCATTCTAATATGATATGGTTTTTTTTCATACAGATATTAATTGTAATGTTTGTTTGTTTAAGGTGTTTGTTTGGTGTGCATGTGGTTGATTAGCAATGAGCAATAGGGGATGAGGTTTATTGTTAAATGTATATGCATGAGATTTTTCTTTCTTCACCAGGAAATGCTCATCTGACCTTAATTAATACCTTAAACCCCTGGGCTTTCGGGGGCTCTACCCCCTAAACACCACCAAAGGCCCTAAAGCGGGCTCCTGGTTGCTCAAATGACCGTAATATAATGCCTGAAAAACCTAAGCCTCAAAGGGCTCAGACCCCTAGACCCCCTCAAATTAGTGACCTGTTGGTGTCACAAATAAGGTATCAAAATATGCTCATTTGACCGTAATTAAATCCTTCAAACCTCTGAGCTTCCGGGGGCTCCACCCCTGGACCCCACCTGGCCCCTATGACAGGACCCTCAATGCTCATCTGACCATAATTAAATGCCTGGACCGCACGCCAATCATTGACCTGCCAGTGTCACAAATACATGTAACGTATCTAAATATGCTGATCTGACCGTTATTTAATGTCTCAAACCCCTTATCTTCCAGGGGCTCTGCCCCTGGATCCCACGCCAATTTATGCTCCACTCATTACGCCCACTACACTCTACCTGATCGTTAATGCTCCACTTTGAAAAACGTTCCGCGGGGCCAGCATGTAACATGTATGAGTGGTGGTGATACAGTGATTCTTCTCCCCCCCCCCCCAAAAAAAAAAACTTGTTTGCTCATTACACCACTACCCTTGAAAGTTGAGCCCCCTGGAATGTTTGCCCCCCCCCCCCCCCCCCCCCAATACCAAACTGCTTCCGGTGCGCCTGCTCCCGGCTATAGAGCAAACAGGGTCATATATCTATAATGTAACCTTTCATACAAGTGCATTTAGTATCAATGTACAGGCCTATCAATAAGGAAGTTTAATATAACATAGGAGGGAGATTTCGGTATCGCATGTCAATAAACACAAGAGAATCACTTTCCAGTTGATTGAATGTCAATTATTAGGAACCACTCAGGGAAAAAAACAAAACCATTCACGGGGCTACTACAATTCCATGCATGGTGGAATGAGCCATCAAACACGAACAAACAGAAGAACGATGGAAAATGAAACAATCATTTTACATAAAAGTAGAAGCAAATATTTACACTATATTACAAAATTCAGTCCGATATGATTATGAAGGCGAAGATAATTTATTGTGTGCGCTGCTGTACAACAAAGATCTATGCATTGTATGTCCGTCGTTATCTATCATTTTGAGTACCCAAAACAAGCCATTATGGCACTTTACAAACGGATAGCTATCTTCGCGATAATATGCACAGGAGTTTGCAAGGCTGTTGATCCAGGTAAATGATGTCACTAATAATTATTTACACTCTGTTGATGCTCAGACATAATCAGGTGGGCTGTATCTAATACAGACCACCTTATATTTTTGTTAAAATCGCCTTTATCAGTTGGGCTGTATCTCATACAGACCACCTCATAATTTTGTTAAAATCGCCTTTATTTTTTTTTTTATTTCGACCCACTTTTTTGTTAGCAAGATTACTTTGAAATGGTTCAATCAAATGCTTTGATATTTGGCACACATATGTATAGGCATATGGACAAAACACAGTAAGGTTTTCAACCTTGACCTTGACTGATGACGTCATCTAGGCGCCATTTTGTGAAATTTTCTGAAAATAAACTCATGATCATATCTTCATAACCAAAAGGTATTTCTCATTCATATTTATTATGATCAAGGTCAATATCAGTCCAGTCAATT